ACAATATTTTAAAAGTTTTTTTTCAACAGGAAATAAATTAAGGCATCAACGACCCTGACAAGAAAAGTTAATGAGGAAAAAGACAAACTTCACAAAAGCTCTGCTGTAGAAAAGTTTGTGTAGACTCTGAATCCGTTGATCGACTTCTGGCCTGTTTTGAATAACACAATCCAACATACACATACCTCTGTGCGTTGTCCTCCGGCGGTCCTACACCATATGGCCCAACCCGTCAAAGCAGAAGATGAGACCACAGGTCATTTCCTCTTTCTCTCTCCGTTATATCAGGCCGTGAACAGGACTCGGCCACCTCTGGTTGAAGGCGGTCTCGCACACTGACGCGCTGACACAACCTGCTGCAGCACCAATGCGGAAGATGACGCCTCCTCGCCTACTTCTCATACACTTCACCGCTTCTCTGGTTTGAGTCCAGGAAAAAGAACATCCATCCTCGGCATTTAATAAGGATTTGGCCTATTTTAGATTTGTGACGGGTCCAGAATTAAACAGGACAGACAAACTTTTTCATTATTACCAAACATTTTGAGTTAAAAATGTAAAAACGGTGATGTAAGTAACTAAGTACATTGACTCAAGTACTTTTAAGTACAATTTTGAAGCATTTGTACGTTGGTATTTCCATTTTATGCTACATCATACATCAACTTCATTACATTTCAGAGGGAAATATTGTACTTTTTACTCCACTACATAACTTAATCAGATTAATAAAATTAAAATCATAAGATTTTATTGATTCTCAGCAAGAAATACACAACCTACCCAGCAGTATGTAAAGTAATCCAATTGTAAGATTATAAGGCAGTTATAATTAGCTCCAGTTTTACCATCTGCATCATTAAATGTGATGTACATAGTGTTCTTTTACCTTTGGTACTTCAAGAATACTTTAATACTATTACATCTATACTTTTATTTAAATAAAAGTTTTACACTGTGGTATTGTTAGTTTCACTTAAGTAAATGGTCTGAGTACGTCTTCTAGCACTGTGTAAGAAAACACAGCTCCAAGTTACATCTTGACCTTGAAAACACTGGTTGACAAAGTAGTCTCCTTGTCACCTTGTGGGAGAAGGAGGAAAGGAGAATCTGTTACACCTACACAACAGGAAGTAGGAAAGGTGAATGAGCTGAATGAGGCACACCTGGAGAGGATAACAGGCAGGGAGTGGAGCCAGAGTGAAGGGGACATTAGATACATTTTAACAGAAATCACCCTGAGCTAAAGAAATATAACAGTAGCAGAGTGCAGAGGAGTAAATAAGGAGCAGAATGAAAGCGACTGTTTGGACCATTAGATGTTGATCTTTGTAGCGGGGCGGATGAAGAATCCCATTTTTTCCTCGATCTGCTTGGCTGCGACCTACTCCTTCCCCAGATGTAACCTCCTGAAAGCTAAGTTCTCGTTTCCTTCCACTCTCTCTCAGCACCCTGTCTCTCTCCTAGCCATCAGCCACTTTCCCTTGCACCCAACTAAAAATGCACATACACATGAATTGAACTCCCCTCAATCCTCTTCTGCAGCTCCAGCAGCTCCTTGCATCAGCACTCAATCTGAGTGATCTGCCCTCCAGCTGGACACTAAACACCTTCAGCTCCTCACTCTCCTCCAGCCGCTCCTCAGTGACATTCCTGCCCACCCCCTTCCATCTGCTTCTGAATCCGACATTTACAAACCTCCCCGTGGCTCCTCTCTGTGTCAAAGTAGTTGAACATGACATCGCTCAGAGTATTGCTCAGATGCTGGTACTGTGTTTGGGCTTTACATGTTGCAGGGTCAGAGCTGCCTCACCAGGCGTCCAGTTCCACACTGAGAGTGTTCATCATGTGCAGCTGCTGCAGCGCAACTTCTACGCTACGCTTAATATCTGCCCCAGTTGTGTTGGAGTCCCACTGTGTCTCAGTCAGGGAGGAGGTCTTGTTCAGATCTTGGTAGTTCACGCATTTCAGCTCACTGATATTGTTCTGGATCTGCTGGATCTCCAGATGGATCTGCTGGGCCTTATGCAGGACATCATCAAGGTCCTGGCCAGGACCTGATGCTGCTGCTGGTTCTTGCTCTGAAAGCTCCACTGTGCTGAAACCCTCAGAGTCAGTCTGCACCTGACGGAGGTGCCTCAGTGCAGCCCTATTCAGGAGTAAGTGTTATAGGTAATGGATGGATGATCGGTCCATCATCATCATCATCATGTAAAGCAATGAGTCCCAGGTGAGGAGTCAGGACTCTTCCAAAGAGATATAAGACAAATTTGAGCAGTCTCAAGCTGACTAGACCTGCAGCATTAACAGATTTTGTTAAGCTGTAAACACCTAAAAACTAAAACGCAGTAGTTGCATGAAGCAAACATGTACTTCTAGTTTTGAGTTTCTCCAGAGGGCAACCAAAGGTGTCTTAACAGGGCCGGGCTCAGTCAAACACATGATCTGCTACAAAAACCAGGGACATGTAAAGATTTTGTAATATGCACAGCAGGTATGAGCGTTTTTCTCCCTCTCATCCTCAGTAGCACGTAATCTTAGATGAGCGTATTTGATCTGCCAGGACATTTAATCTTGTTGCTGACTTGCCAAACAAGTTTTCAAGCAAGGACGTCAAGTTAGTCTTTTTTTTTTTAACAAGATGACACATTTTTATATGAAATTTGCATAAAAAGGGCCTAATTCAAAGCTTTTTCATCTGTTCAGTAATTTACAACTGGGTTTTGTGTAGCTGATTTAAAATACCCGAGGAATATGTAAAGCTATAATGAGAGCTTGTACGGCTGCTTGGAGGTCTTCTTCCCCTTCTGTAGCACAAGCTGGTTCTTCAGCCTGTTAAGCAACGTGACAGCTGCAGAGAGTGAATGATTTTTATTTATTTAGAAGTGTTAATCCTTGTCACTGATACGCCAGGTAAAGAGCACAGATATGTAGAAGCAAAACTTTCTGCATTCCTTGAGTCACGTGGAGTGACGTGCTGTAAGGTGAAGTTGAACCTCTGCAAAAGTACTGATGCTTCTGCATGTATGTTTACATTTTCTCTATTTTCAGCGCAGCTCTTGGTCTAGTTAGACATAAAAAAATAGTATATATAACATACTGGAAGAGGGCTTGACAGGAAAAACCACCAACTGTCAGTCATGCTGCCAGAAGAAGAAGAAGAAGCTGAAGTATATTTAAACTGAAAAATGGATGTTTGATGTGTGATGTTGTCTAGTCATTTCCACATCCTGCGTGGTTTGTATGTGATTAGTAAATTCCACAGTCTGAGTCACACTGGCTTCAATTCTCATGGGGGATTTTCTCAGCAAAGTTTGATGTGTCAGTCAGCTGCAGACTCGCACTCCTCCAGTGTGCAGCCGGCACGAATTTTAAGAAGAGGAAAACGGCATGAATGAAACAGGTAGAAGCTGAGACATCCCACAATAAACCACAACACAGGCAGCAATCTTTGTTTCACCTCCAGCACATTGATACAGTTTACCTGTTTGTTTTCTACTTTAGAGAAGAGTATGATCAATCCCAATAATTAAATTAAGGTGTTAAGATTAAGATTAAGATTCAAATTCATTTTAAAAAAGGCTACACAATAAGACATGCTGAATTTTAAAGTAAGATTCAAATTTATTTTAAAAAAGGCTACACAATAAGACAGTGAGCAAACTTGAACCACCAGATGGCAACAAAATGTAAAATCATTACATCACAACATGCTTATGCTGTGGTGGAAAGTCAAAGTACATTTTATTTACCTACTGTTTTGTAAAGTACAGTGTAGTTTAAGTACATTTTGCTGATCATACCTTTTGTACAAATAGAATTTAAAATGCGTGATTATTTTTTTATAGCAGCAGTAGCCAATTTTTGATTAAATAAGCTTTGTGTAATTTAAGATGGTTCAATGGACTTCAGCTGCTTTTATGTCACATAAAAACTGGAAACGTGGAGGTGCTATTAATTTATATTGCCGAATGCTTTATTGAAAAACTAAAAGCGCATGCGTGATGTCATATAGGACACAAGCCACACGGTGGCAGCAGAGTATCGTGTTTTATCTGTTGCAGCAGTGAATTTCAAGCGCACCACATCTGTGGGTACCCAGCAGCCGCAGCAGAACTAATTCATAAGAAGTTTGACCAGACTCTGAACAGGTTTCATTAGCAGTATAAACAACCTCCCGCTTCACACACATCTGTTATCATGGCCATTCAGGTTACCATCTTTCCACAAATGCCTAGCCCATATTTTTGCACCTATGCATTAAATGTTTTCCCAGAAAATGTCATTAACCAGTGTAACATTGTCTGAAACGTCCCTCTCGACGCGTATGAGCTATGACTTCCTATCAGGGACATTGCGGTGAGTGTGACCCGTTTTCACGATGCAGTGAGGAAGAGCAGAAGAAGGGGGCACCTCCATATCAGCGCAGACAGGGTCGGAGAGAGAGACAGATGAGCTGGAGTCCAGTCTGGCTGCTTCAGAGGAGACACACACCCGCTATGTCCCCAGATGCCTGGAGCAGGTAAGTCATGCCAGTTATTAGACACACTCCCCTTCTTTAAATGGGATCCTTTTCTTAATACTGGTCGAATATCCCGTCAGCTCTGTTAAGCTTCATCGGGGGCATGATTGCGATTCATGTGCGTGTTAATGGCGATGTTGAAAACGTCCTATGAATGACATAGGCTGCAGATGCCCGATTAGAGGACAGGAGACATCTGTCCAACAACGATTCAGACCAGTCATCGTCTTGTTTGTGATGTGAGAGTGGTAAAAGTTGCAGGTTGAAATTGGGGATCAGCTGAGATCCTTTGCTGTCTGTGGTGCTGAAGCTCAGCAGCTCTGTTCTAGTCATACGTCTTTATTCTAGATTCAGCATTTATGTACTTAAAGCTCATAGGTCTTTCCTCAGTTTATAGAAAAGGCTCTCCCGTATATTTGCATTTTTTTCCTATATTATGTACAGAGAATCCGTTTTTATTACACGTAATCTGTGACCGAAGAACAGATATTTAACATCTTTTTGCATTTTGGAGGGCTATGATGTGATTGACACAATGGAACAACAGTTATACAAGACAAATGAATGAAAACTAAGGGGCTGCAGCCAAGGGTCAGATACTAAATTAGGAAGCTGCTCAGATGAATAACTTCAAACTTGTTTTGCACCACTGAAGTACAAGATCGACCTTGACTTTAACTGTTTTAGTATATATTGTTAATTAGGTTATATGTTTAGTTTCTATTTGTGTTTTATCACAAATCACGCTGTATTTTTATTTTTTTTGGAAATATTGGTATTGTTCACAGGTGAACTGTACTACAAGTGCAATCAATAATTACTCATTATGAGTTTACTGTCATAGAAACCTGAGAAACTAGAAAATATTTACATTTGTGAGGCTGAGAGAAGTGAAGTTTTGGGCATTTGTGCTTCAATTTTTAGCAAAATTAATGAATGAATCATCATTAACCTGTTAGTTATTGATTTACTATAAATTGATGGAACAATTAGTCAACCAGTCATTTCAGCTCCAGAGTACTAGTTTGTTTCTGGGCACCCGAGGAGATAATGAAACTGCCTGGGGTCAGTCAGGGTTAATCAGGTCATGTCTCTAGTGGTTATTTTCATCATTGATTAATCTGCTGGTTTTTGTTGTTTTTAATTTTATTATGAGTAAAATGCCAGAAATAGTGAAAATGTCCATCACTATTTGAACGTGACATTTTCAAATTACTTGTTTTGTTTAATCAATAGTAAAAACAAATCAAAAGTTACCTGGTTTGCAATCAAAAGCATTAAATCCTCATATTTGAGAAGCTGGAACAAGAGAATGTTTGTTTTTTGTTGCTTTTTTTTTTTTTTGCTTAACAATGACTCAAATGATTATAATGAAATGAAAATAGTTGCCGATTACTATTTCCATCCATTTTCCAAACCGCTTAGTCCCAAACGGGGTCATGGGGGGCTGGAGCCAATCCCAGCCAGCTGCGGGCGAAAGGCAGGGTACACGACAGGTCGCCAGCCCATCGCAGGGCCAACACACAGACGAACAACCACTCACACACACAAGCACTCCTACGGGCAATTTAGAGACACCAATCAACCTATGCTGCAGGTCTTTGGACTGTGGGAGGAAACCGGAGTACCCGAAGAGAGCCCACGCAAGCACGGGGAGAACATGCAAACTCCACACAGAAAGGCCCCAGATTGGCCGGGGCTCGAAACCCAGAACCTGCTTGCTGTGAGGCAACAGCGCTCAACTGTGCTGCCCCGATTACTATTTGATCAGCTAATTCACTGATCAACTAATCATTGCAGCTTTCGTTACATGTGTGGGAAAAACAGGAATGAATGTTCCTTGTCTCTCCCACAGGGTGACAAGACTGGAGGAGAAGCGGCTGAGTTAATTGCCATTGTATCCAGTAGAGGACTGGTGGACCTTGATCATGGCCAGGTGGACGTGATTCTACATTCAGCAGCTGTGGCACAATGTTGAACATGATTTACCTGACTGCCATAAGCATTTTGTACTTGCCCATTTTACTGTTTGAGGCATTTGTTCTGTCTAAAGGCAAGTATGAGAGGTCAGTGGTGCCGACTTCTGCCTCTCGCCTGGTGGCAAGGATGGACGGGGATATTATAATCGGCGCCCTCTTCTCTGTTCACCACCAACCCTCAGCTGAGAAGGTGGCAGAGAGGAAATGTGGGGAGATCCGTGAGCAGTACGGCATCCAGAGAGTGGAAGCCATGTTCCACACCTTGGATCGAATTAACTCGGACCCCTACCTCTTACCCAACATCACCCTGGGCTGTGAGATCAGGGACTCCTGCTGGCATTCCTCAGTGGCTCTGGAGCAGAGCATCGAGTTCATAAGAGACTCGCTCATCTCCATCCGGGACGACACGGACGGCTCTAGGTGGTGCATCGAAGGGGCACCTTCCAGTCATCCGCCGTCAACCAAGAAGCCCATTGTAGGCGTCATTGGGCCTGGCTCCAGCTCGGTTGCAATTCAAGTCCAAAACCTTCTGCAGCTGTTCAACATCCCTCAGATTGCATATTCTGCGACCAGTATCGACCTCAGTGACAAGACCTTATTTAAGTACTTCCTCAGGGTTGTGCCCTCTGACACCCTTCAAGCCAGGGCCCTCTTGGACATTTTGAAACGATACAACTGGACCTATGTGTCTGCAGTTCACACAGAGGGTAAGACACTTCTTTTGTTGTAGTGTTGTACATCCATAAAATTGGAGAGGCAGGTGTTTAAAAAAACTGAATAATCAAAATTGAATCGGCAGAGGCTGAGGTTCAGAAGTCAGCAGGAGGACAAATGAGAAATTAAAGCCAACACACATTAAAGAAGGTCCATTTAGAGAATGAGAATCAGCAGTGGCTTAATCAGATTATGTATTTCTTTAGTATTTTGCTGCAGCAGTGGACCTGTAGACTGCTATTCTAACAGCAGGTGGCTGCAGACAGTCAAACCCATTCACATGACATTAGTATACTGTAAGAGAAGAGGGTCTTCTCTGTGCTCTATTGTGAGGTCTGCTTTTTGTGTTGAATGAAGGTTCCTATTCATTTCTCATTTGCATATTATCAAGACAAAAGTTCAGGCTTCTTTTCTTCGCATGCTTTTCCTTGTCCTGCCTTCCTAAAGCCAGCGTGGTCCAGGTTGATGAACACTGCAGTGTCACCATAAAATGTCATTTTTACACACACCTTTGTGTCTGATTAGAAAAATTACACTACACTACACTACATTACATTTGAGCACAGATTATAATAATTGGTGCTCCTCCCACATGAGCAAGAGTCAAACATGATATGCACATTTGATATACCCATAAAGCAGCTGCTGCTAATCTGTCCTCTGTTTTTGTACCAAGGGAATATGAGACAGATGTGTGGATGAGCTGAGGAAAAAAAATTCTGGTGAGCCTTCTTTGTTCACTGTAATGAAGATCTGTACAGTGGTGTGAAAAAGTGTTTGCCCCCTTACTGATTTCTTATCTTTTTGCATGTTTGTCACACTGTAATGTTTCAGATCGTCAAACAAATTTATATATTAGTCAAAGATAACACAAGTAAACACATCATGCAGTTTTTAAATGAAGGTTTTTATTATTAAGGGAAAACAAAATCCAAAACTATAGAGCCCTGTGTGAACAAGTGTTTGCCCCCCTGTCAAAACACTGGTTTATCGCACCTGAGTTCAATTTCTCTTGCCACACCTGTTCGCAATCAAGAAATCACTTAAATAGGACCTGCCTGACAAAGTGAAGTAGACCAAAAGATCCTCAAAAGCTAGACATCATGCCGAGATCCAAAGAAATTCAAAAACAAATGAGAAAGAGAATAATGGAGCTCTATCAGTCCGGAAAAGGTTATAAAGCCATTTCTAAAGCTTGGGGACTGCAGGGATATTTTGGTACACAGCAGAATTCATGGTTCCACTTATCACAGCATGTCTTCCAGGGCCTGAAGCAGCAAAACAGCCCCAGACCATCCCACTACCACCACCATATTTTACTGTTGGTATGATGTTCTTTTTCTGAAATGCGGTGTTACTTTTACGCCACACATAATGGGACACACACCTTCCAAAAAGTTCAACTTTTGTCTCGTCTGTCCACAGAGTATTATCCCAAAAGTCTTGGGGATCATCAAGATGTTTTCTGGCAAAACTGAGACGAGCCTTTATGTTCTTTTTGCTCAGCAGTGGTTTTCGTCTTGGAACTCTGCCATGCAAACCATTTTTGCCCAGTCTCTTTCTTATGGTGGAGTCATGAACACTCAGCTTAACTGAGGCAAGTGAGGCCTGCAGTTCTTTGGATGTTGTTGTGGGGTCTTTTGTGACCTCTTGGATGAGTTGTCGCTGCGCTCTTGGGGTAATTTTGGTCGGCTGGCCACTCCTGGGAAGGTTCTCCACTGTTCCATGTTTTCGCCATTTGTGGATAATGGCTCTCACTGTGGTTCGCTGCAGTCCCCAAGCTTTAGAAATGGCTTTATAACCTTTTCCGGACTGATAGAGCTCCATTATTCTCTTTCTCATTTGTTTTTGAATTTCTTTGGATCTCGGCATGATGTCTAGCTTTTGAGGATCTTTTGGTCTACTTCACTTTGTCAGGCAGGTCCTATTTAAGTGATTTCTTGATTGCGAACAGGTGTGGCAAGAGAAATTGAACTCAGGTGCGATAAACCAGTGTTTTGACAGGGGGGCAAACACTTGTTCACACAGGGCTCTATAGTTTTGGATTTTGTTTTCCCTTAATAATAAAAACCTTCATTTAAAAACTGCATGATGTGTTTACTTGTGTTATCTTTGACTAATATATAAATTTGTTTGACGATCTGAAACATTACAGTGTGACAAACATGCAAAAAGATAAGAAATCAGTAAGGGGGCAAACACTTTTTCACACCACTGTAGGTCATGTTAGCAATAAAATGAGTGCTCTTCATATCGGATGTGATCGGCAGAAAGAATAAAGTCTGAATACTTTTCCAGCTTTTCTAAGTAACTGTTGGGTTTATCGTTGATGAGGTACACTAGTTGACTGTCTCCGAATGTCTGAACAGGCAACGGCTCTCTCCTCATTCTCAGATACTGAGGTCACCTTCACCCTGTTTGCTCCAGTTATGATTCCATAAAAAGAAAGTCAGGGGACATAAGTGAGAAGCGTGTTTTCAGCAAACCTTTTCTGCATAATTTTAATTTTACAGAAAGTTTGACATTTAAACTGTTTGGAGTGAATTGAAACCCACTGAACTCTGTCCTCGCTCTTGTCAGTAAAATTCCCCTGACACTTCCTCCTGTCTTTCTCAGGTAACTATGGAGAAAGTGGGATGGAGGTGTTCAAAGAGCTCGCCTCACAGGAGGGACTCTGCATCGCCCATTCTGACAAGATCTACAGCAACGCCGGCGAGAAGCACTTTGACAGGCTGCTGAGGAAGCTGCGGGAACGTCTGCCTAAAGCTCGAGTTGTCGTCTGCTTCTGTGAAGGCATGACAGTCCGAGGGCTGCTTATGGCCATGAGACGGCTCGGAGTAGCCGGAGAGTTCCTCCTAATCGGCAGGTTTGTTACACGTCGCTTTCCCACAAGGGCTTTTAGCTTTGTCTGTCATGGTTTGGGGTTTTTTTGGGCATAAAAATCACACCAAACTATTCTTCAAGATGATGAAAACAGTTATTTTTCTTTGTGCTGCTGTTTTATTTAAAGTTTGCAGAGTTTTCGAAACTTTAATTACAATAATAATGTGGACATTTTTTAAAAAAAAAGTAAAAATCATCACATTTTTCATAAAGTCAGATTTCTTTCACATATATTGTGATAATGACAGTAACTGTAGCTGAACAGACAGACCTACATGTACCACAGGGCCTATTTAGTGTTTTAGTTTGCCCAGTTGTAACTGTAGATGTTAAACTTTTGTCCATGTTGGCTTAAAAACTGACTAAGAGTTCTTTTTTAACTTTGGAAGAAGCAGTTAATGTACCCATGTCATCCAATCAGTAGCTGTTCTGGAGCTTACAGTCATGTTATATAACATTAAATTGTCATATCTTCAGCTCTTTATGCTGCATTTATTGATGATATTTGTGGTGATAATTAGGGTAACTGGCTGACAACAATTTCACAGAAAAAAGCTACCTTTAGTAGCTTTTAGTCATTTCACGTGATCTTCAGTACATAGTTTGCTCAGCTGTAATTGCAGGTGTTAAAAAAAAGTCCATGTTTGCTTAAAAATTGTTATTGGAAGTTGATTCTTGACCTTAGAAAAGAAAAAGCAACTGACAACTTGCCATGAGGTCCATTTTGTAACAATCCAGACAAATGACACCACGCTTCTGCGCCAAAAATATAAACGTTAGGTTTCCAGCTACACTCAGGATGGATGGTGTACACAGAGTTAATATGGAGACAAAATATCCTTTTTTCCGACCAGGAGTAGAGCTCCTCTGAAAGCAGAAGATGCTTTGACTCAGGCTCAGTAATGAATAATGCATCCATGCAGCGAGCTTTCTCGCTCCCTGTCAGATCACAGGCAGGCTGCGCTAATATGGGACAGCACCTCCAGCAGAAGCTGGGGAATGTGGAGTACTGAGCATCAAAGCTCATATAAGCACTTGTACAAGACGTTCTCTCTTTATGGAGTCTCAGCTCACCTTAAGTCCTGTTAGGAGTTGCTGCAATAAGGATATGAGTCTACGACTGTGAGTGGCTCACTGATGCCTGACTGCTTTATTCACAGAGTCTGATGAGAAGGAGTCAAAAACTGTTCTCGCACCCCAAATGATGAAATGCATATGTGAACAAATTAGGATGTTTTAAAACCTAAACTTGTTTGCACCAGTTCCACTTGAATTTGTACTATTGTTAAAGTCTCCGTGGAAGAAGAGCAGTGAGAGTTTGGTAGAGCTGTGTGTGTGTGTGTGTGTGTGTGTGTGTGTGTGTGTGTGTGTGTGTGTGTGTGTGTTCTAGGTCAAGGAGACTACTGAAAAAGGAAGATGCTTTTTAGAGCAGTGCAGTAAATGAACACACCCCCAGCCTGTGCAATGGGCCAATGGAAATGCCTGAGGTGCTGGTCATCAGCCATCTATCCATCTTCTGCTGTGTGGAGGATGAAAGAAATGGCTGTTCTCACACCACAGCTCCCACACATCTCAAACAACACAAAACTAATTTGGTCACCTGTCAAGCGAAGCCCCACCGCTTTGGAAATGATGAACGAATATGTCAGTTTTAGAACATTATGTTTGATAGAACACTTGCAAATATCCATCTATCCATCCATTATCTGTATCATTTATACTGAAGAGGGTCGGGTGGGGGTTTGGAGCCAAACTCAGCTGATAATAGGGTGGAGGCGGGGTCCGCCCTGGACATGTCGCCAGTCTATCACAGGGCTGGCATGTAGACACATACCCACACTCACTCCTAGGGGCAATTTTAGAGTCACCAATCAACCTAAGCTGCATGTGTTTGGGCTGTGGGAGGAAGCTGGAGCACCCGGAGAGAACCCACACAAGCACAGGGAGAACATCCAAACTCCACACAGCTGGGGCTCAAACCTGGAACCTTCTTGCTTGCAAACAGTTGACTCCTAATTCATTTTGTCCTGAAAAATTCTTCCCTGAAGATGAATTAATCATTTACAAAAAATACTCCCTGATAGGGTTTCCAGTAGTGTCTTTGAATAGTTTCTCCTTGACCTAAATTAAATTATTCATAAATCCATGATATCAGATTTGGATTATAAATGTGTGTGTGTGTGTGTGTGTCGACATCAGAGCTGTTCTGTAGGTTTTTGGCACTTGGAGTGTTGGACTGGAGGGAGTGTGATGCTGAGAAAGCAGATGGCCAGGTAGTGTTGATACTGTCACACTGGACAGTCATTGTCAATTCACTGTTGAGGTGCCAACCAAACTAAACGTGCTGCTGAATTTAGAAGTCTGGTGACTGTTATTTTCATCCTGCTGATGAACTGGAATTTGTGCAATACTCTGAATCATTGTATTGAGAATGGTACAATTCAAAGATTCATTGTTTTCTGATTTAGAGCTTCTTGGCCATTTCGGTTAGATATATCTATGATAACTATGCCTGTAAAATCCCCAAATTATTTAGAAACAGGAGTCTACAGCCACACTGAAGCTGTGCAGGACCATTGTCTAATATCCTTTGGAAATTTGTTCCAGATCTGATGCACAGAAACTAAATGATCCTCCTCTCTGTTTAGTTTGCATTATGGGAACAGTTAGTAGGCATCAACCTGATGCCCTGAGGGGCTTAAAGGGTGAGATTTACCCCAGCAGCAGAACCTTCAAGTCTATTCTCTGACACACTGGAATATAGTGAAGAGACCCGAGAGTTAGTGTGGTGTGCTCAGCCCTTCTGTTGTTATTCCAGCGTTTCTATCCTTTAACAGATTTCTGACTTAGATTTAGGTTTTCACACACAAAGATAAGCTCTAACATTAGGCTTTTTAGTTTATTCCAATAGAGAAATTGTAAGGGTTAATTTCAGTGTGCCATCACCTTCTAGGTAGCTGTCTCAATGCCAAATCATCTTAGGATCTTCATACTTAAAGCATCAAACAAAGCTTGATGTTTTGTGAGATAGTCAGATGCGGAACCGACTTTCCAACAGCCAAGCAGAAGATAAATATGAACTATGACCAGTTCAGCACCAACACAAGATCACACCTAAGAATCAGAGTCTGTGCATGAGGGTAGGAGCTTGTTTCTCTCCAGGGCAGATTGTTCGCTGCAGTGCTAATGTGTGAATCATCAACGGACTTGTGATTGTGTCTGTGGACTTTTTTTCTTCTTTCGACAAGTACAGTGAGCACTCCGCCCCTCGGCATGTGAGGAAAACAAAATCAGGGAAACAAACAGAGAAGGTCTCTGCTGGATTCAGCCTGAGCCTCATTTATATGGGTACCTTTAACTGACTATCATTTTATTACTTGTTATAACTTTATACAAATGTGTTGGGTTCATCCTGTTTGACTTCAGACAAGGGTTAAAGGTTTAGATTTAAAACCTAAGTGGAAAATCTTGTATATTGGAAATTAAAAAGTTCCATGAAATGTTAAAATCTGGACACCTAGTGTCTATGCCATTTTTCTGTCGAAGTGGTTTTGAGAAGGCTTGTTAAACCAAAATCTTCCAGAACTCTTAGCCCATACACGAGCATGTAATCAATCGATTTGTAGTTTTTGCCCTACTTTGACTTACTGCTGTTCTCAGGGTGTTTCCAGACCAAAAAATATGTTTTCCACTGCTTGATTTAAAAAAAAAAAAGTCTCAATTTGCAACTCTTGTTTATTATATAAGAAGGTGGAAATTTAAATGTTTGCCACCCTTTGGAGAGACACGGGTTATAAAAACTTTATTTTTTGTGTGTAAAACACCAAAAAGTTACACTAATGGAGATAATTATAATAAATGTTCTTTAATGTTCTTTTCCACAAAATCAAGCCAGTACCAGAAGACCCAGGCCACAATGAAAACACAACTACACATAGTGACAAAAAACTAAGACAGAACAAGAAGAAAAAAAACACAGTGACCACTAACAGCTGTCCACCAAAGTGAAGTGAGAGCCATTGTTCGAGTTGACACAGACTTCTTAAACATTAATTTTGTTCATGAAGCACATAGAATATTTATGCATCAAGTGATTAGTGAGCCTTCGCACATCTGGAAATCACTCCTGAAAAAACAAGGATATAAACTACCACTTGAGTTTTTCCAAGGTTGTCATGTAGAAAAGATGCACATTTTGGTTCTGTGACTCAAATGTAATCAGCACTAATCGGGCTTTCTTTCCTGTAGTGATGGCTGGGCAGACCGAGTTGAGGTGGTGGAGGGATATGAACAGGAGGCTGTGGGCGGCATCACTGTGAAGCTACAGTCTGAAGAGGTCTCCTCCTTTGACCAGTACTTCCTGAAGCTCAGGCTCAGCACCAACAAACGCAACCCGTGGTTCCCCGAGTTCTGGCAGTACCGGTTTCAGTGCCGCCTTCCTGGACACCTGCAAGAGAACATGAATTATGCACGAAACTGCTCAGGTAGCTAAACAGCTTGTCAGTTTTTGTTGTTGTTGTTGTTATTATTATGGTTCCTGCAGTTTTTCTGGTTTACATTTCAACACCAGTGTGTACATGAGCTTGTCTTGAACTGTTCTGATGTGTGCAATCCCAAAGTTCCTGTAAACTGGAACACAGGGTAACATTCTCTCCAAGTCAACCCAGTAACACTTTTTTTTTCCATATTGTTCATTTCTGTGACACTTGCCTTTACAGAGGATGATGATCTAGGTAAATTAAATCCTTTTCTTTTACAAAGGAACAAAGTAAATGCATTTGCTTAACTTCTTGGTTTCTTGAAACAATGCTCAACTAGCATGTTTCCAAAATATATTTTTACGTACTGCTCATGTTTCTTTTTTGAAAATACAATCTTGTATATTTACGTTTTCAATTTCACATTATTATATATTATTTTATACAGCATTATTCTGATTAGGATCTCACCACTGCTTTGTTTTCTTAAGATCCCCTTTTGAAATAATTTTAAAATGTATTGAAAAACGTAAATATAAAAGTTTTTGCACGCCGCAAAAAACAAAACACACAAAAAAAGGCAGTTGTTTTAGCTTTCAGTTGACAGTTCTCCAGATTCTTCTTGTTTTGGCTATTGCATCTTTCTTTCTGCAGTTGTTTTAATCTTTTTCCTTTGCAGCATTTGCACATTATATATAAGAACAGAGCCTCTCCTTTTTTGTTATGCACATTGGGCTTTACTTCATTCTTACAAAGCATTGTGTTCTAATAGCAGTTACTAGAGTATTTATTTTAGTCTCCTAAGTAGAGATCAAGTTATTGTTTGTTGTCCTGTCACTTTTATAGTATTGTATTTTATTTGTTATTTTTTATATATTTTGTTGATTTAGAACTTCAAGACGGTGAGTGAAACCCCTCTGAACGGACCCATAATGCTCCTCACTTTAGAAATATACATAGAGGTTGACTGATATTAATCCTTAATCTCATGTTGGGATAATTTAACCACCTTGCTAATCTCCATAATTTATAACTACTATATGTGAAATTAATTTCAGTTAACCTCTAATATATGAAGCTATTGGGATGTTTGTTTGTTTTTTGCACTGCAGTGAGAGCCCAACAACTGGGTCTTGTCTGCTCTGGCTTTGTGCTCCTAAACCCTTTCTTTCCTTAAGACAGTCGTCTAAAACAGCCCAATAACATTCGAGTGAGATGGTAACTGGCTGATCTGGCTTATGTTGCATGTAGCCACAGAAATAGCGAGATGTTTTACAATAACAACACATTTTCTGCTCCATTTTATTCTTTTGCTATACAGTTTAATTCATGTAATAGACAGAGAAGGTTCAGTTGTCATGCAGTTGACTAATCTCAACATGCAGCAGTATGCCCCCTGCTTGCATGCTGACATCATGACGTCATTGCATCATGAGCTCCCACAGCTCAGTGAATGAGCCGAACAGCAACGCCAAGGACCTGTTAAACTAGGTCATCAGCAACAGTTCCCACTGGACACTGACCCAGCCGCTGCCCATCTGAATTTACTGTTTGTGCTTGTTTGCACAGGGGGTCAGTTTCCCAGCACTCCTTTTTAAATGATCATTACTTGATTTACAAACAAACACCAGCAATGGGGTGATGCTTATAAAGATTATCAGCCTCCTGTATCATAGAGCTAAATGTTAATGAGTGCAGTGGGTGAATCCTACACAGAGTTTAGAAAAACAGGACAGAACTGGAAGTGGAACACAGACTGTATACCTCTGCCAAGGCTACAAAATCTTCACATTTGTTCATTATAAAAGCAACTTTTCAGAATTTTAAATGAATCGGCGTCAAATGAAGCATTGTGAGATTACCTTTTTTTATTTATTTTACAAAAATATAATTTCCACAAAGGTAGAAAATATTAAAATATGAATTTTTTTTTCCAAAAGAAAACCCACATCTCCACCAAAAACTTTATGTAAAAGGCATTTTGAGATAACCTGTAAGATTCAGTAACAAAAACACAATTATTTTGTGTTGGTTTAGGTTATTTCCTAATGACTTACAGAGGTCCTCACAACTGATAACTCAGAATTCTTGAACAATGGAACTGACTTTCCTGGTAACATGCAGAGCTATGTAACCTTAGCATACACCAGCTATATGAGCTAAGATAACGATAATAGGATTTTTTTTTTTTATGAGATTCAGGTGATACAGATGTTAAAGGGAAACTGAGGAGTGCAACATAATTTTCAGTCTTAATAATCATAATACACCTTGTTTTACTTTTTTAGATAAAAAGCCATAGGTGATGATTGCTTTCTTGTAAGTGCTAATGTAAAAGTATACTTTCTTTACATGTGTGAAATATGGATTTCATACTCAAAATGGATGATTTTAGGGGCCAATAGCTAGAGGTTATTTGGTGGAAAGAAGAAAATGAAAGTTGGATATTTTGCCCTGGGGAGGTATTAAAAATCATCTACTTCAGCTTGTTTTAACATTGTTTTACAAAAGTGGATTGAATGCATGGTGTGGCTCATTGACGTTGATTTTAACACAGAACTAAATAACATGCTTACTCTGCTTCTAGCTTGCATTACACTGAATTGATAGGGTGTGTTTGAACGTAACAGTGTTTGTATCCAAGTATGAATCATTTTTGTCTGTTCACTTATCGTGTATGTCTGAGGAAAACAATGTAAGCAGAAGACAACAGATCCAATTGCATGAAAATAGTTGGTTTGGTTTTCTGCTTGAGGAGACACAGTGTCAGTGGCACAGTGTTTTAGACTGACTCTAATTGAATCTCCACTCCTGAATGCAGAAATGGATAGTCTTGCCATGGCAACACGGTTCCTTTGAAGCCATTTTCTTAGGCTTCTAGTTCTTTTAAAGCAGTTTCCCGTTGAGGCAAAGTGGCGTGTAGTTTGCTGCTTTTGTTCAGAGAATAATGACAACAGTGAATCTGTGAGCACCCTATCACTCCTTTGTAATATGTTACATCATGCTAGAGACACCCGACAGTGTAGCTACAATCTAGAAAAGACACATACTATGCTACTGCTTGCAGCAATCAAGCTCTTCCTGTAAAGCTTTTCCTTAATAAAATTATCCCTGAGGTGAATGCTTACCGTTCTTTTATGTGTGGGCAGGTTATGAAAGTCTGGAGGACAACTATGTTCAAGACAGCAAGATGGGCTTTGTCATTAACGCCATTTACGCCATGGCCCATGGGCTGCATGACATGCATACTCACCTCTGCCCTGGCTATGTGGGGCTCTGTGACGCCATGAAGCCTGTTGATGGGAGCCACTTACTGGACTTCCTTCTTAAGACGTCCTTCAGGGGCGTTTCTGGCGAGGACATATATTTTGATGAGAACGGTGACTCGCCTGGCAGGTAGCACATATTTCCATTATGTCATTCTTGAAATACTATATAGAAATTGTTCAGATTCTTGGGTTCACTGGCGCTGTTTGTGCTCTCCAACCACTGTAATTAAAGCAGCATCAAGTAACCTAGACCCATTAATAACCTGTACCAAAACCTCACTGAAATTGCAGCAACTTAGCTTGAACTTTATCTCCATCATAAGTTTCTAGCCCAGCTCACTCCAAGTGAAACCTGTAATACACAATTCACAGTTCACCTAACCACGTGCATCAGTGAGTGTTTCCAAAAACGTTCAACCAGGGAAACAAGGAAAAGCAGTTTTATTTTTATACAGCAGGACCTATATACACAAAAGCAATTCAAAGCGCTTTACATGGGCAAAAGGAACCTTAACCTTAACAGCATTAAAAACCAGAATGAAATCAATTAGTGAAACCCTGCTTTTCAGACTGGCAATAAAAGGGGAACATTGCTGTATTGAGTTTGAATAATGAACTATTAGGACTCGAAATGAAAAACGTGTCATTTGAGGTGCTACATTTATTGTTTTCTCTTGTTACTTGACTGATCTGCAGTATAATCAGCATCATACTGTGCTTTTAAAATTGACTGTGTAACATAAAGTGGCCACTGAGTTGCAATATAAAACTGATGTTTGGGCAGATGATGCTGAATTTATGTTTCAGGAGGTGGTGAACCTCTGTCAGTGTGTATATTGTGCATAAATAATTTCAGAGAGAAATTAGGCCTACTTCTACAAACACTTCAGTTATTCTCTGATGACTATATTTATCTATTAATTACCAGCAGAGGTTTGAACTTAGTCATTTCAGGCCATGTTTGTAAAACAGTATCACTGCTATTATGAGAAGAGCAAATGTCTGGCTGCTAATATGGTGCATACACTAAGAAGTGTTTAGAGATTAATATAAACATGCTCAATTTTACAGTGTAGTTGTTTCAATGACTTGTTTCTTGTGCTTTTTATGAGTGTGCAACTGAAACTGCATTGTCTGGTAATATCTTGAAATTCCTCTTGACACTGTGTGTTGCACACCAGATAGAGCGACAGGGATAGTAAGCCAGAAATATCAGCACCTGGCAAAGTAATCCCTGAGTCACTAGTATCGATCAAGAACCTGTCAGCCCCCAGTTGATAAAGTATACTTTTTCTGTTTCAAGTGGCAGTAAAACCCTTATTTCCCCTTTAAGAACTGATCCAGCAGCAGTGAAAACCTGTACATTTGTGTCTTCCTCTAACTCATGGCTTTTTATCCACCATCAGGTATGAGATAATGAATTTCCAGCATGTGGGACCTGGTGTTTATGACTACATCAACACTGGCTCCTGGCATGAGGGCTTACTCAGTATTGATGATGACATGATCCAGATGAACCGCAGTGACATGGTTCGCTCTGTCTGCAGTGAGCCCTGTTCCAAAGGAGAGATCAAGGTAAAGCACGTTTACCATGTTTTGACCATACTGTAAGAGCACAGGTTGTGAAAAATCCCCCTGATGGTGTTTATTGTTTCGACTGGGTAAAAATATTGAAAAACTATCAGTATGTTCTCATGGATTTACAATGTTGACACGTCTTCATCCATTTAATGCACCTTTCTATAGTTTTTATTTACAGTGGGCATCCATTTTTCATGAAAACAAGCTTAGACCAAAAACAGGTGCAGGAACGTATTATTACATGTCTGTTTTGTCAACCAGGTGATCAGGAAGGGAGAAGTAAGCTGCTGCTGGATTTGCACAGCCTGCAAAGATAACGAGTACGCCCAGGATGAGTTCACATGCAAAGCGTGTGACCTGGGCTGGTGGCCTGACAAAGAGCTAGAAGGTGGGCTTGTCCTCTTTTACTCTTCACTTTGCTAACTGCTTTACTTCGGATCTTCTTTATACACTGCACCAGAGCTGGCAATGGACCAACTGTAACTTTTCAGGAGATGAGGAGATCAATACCACTTTGATATCTCCATGTTTAATATCAGGCTGCAGCAAGCGGCATAAAGACCACAGACAGCCTGACTCTTTCCAAAAGTAACAAAATCTTCCTTCCAGAACCTTTGAATCTGCAATAACTCAGCAGCAGAAAAGCCTAAACACAACAATTTGTGGTTTTATGGTGATTATACTGCTTGAAAGTGTTCCCAAAATGTTGCTTTCAGACACCAAAATATAATTCCTCAGTAAAATTCAGACAAGAAGCCTCATCCAATTAGAACATAAAAGGTTTAAACTTTAAACAAATTCAGGTTACTTCAGTGGCCACAGACTTGGTTCCTGTCGATGCTTTCAGGGATGAGGAGATTGTCTGGTCAGATAGAAAGTTAAGTTCCTCCAAGCTTCCACCACCTGTACCCAGTATAGATTGTCCTGCTACGGTTTTTGCAGCCGCTATTTCATAAACCTGTCCTGTCCTATTTTCACTGCTTTCCCATGGCACCTAGGAGCCATTCATCATCCTCACCATTTTATCTGACAGTAGCCCTGTTTCACTTACCACTTTTTTGGCCCACTTTCAAAGGCTTTCTGCACTGTTCAAAGACAAGTCACTTTCTTAATAACATCATCCTTCCTCAACACTGTATTCTTTTTAACCACAAGAGCTTTAGATACACACAGAAACGAGAAAATGTGGAGAACAGAGATGACATAAAAATATTCTTGTGCACTTTTCCAACCCTCCTGCTGTTCTCCAATTAATCATTAAAACATAAATAATATATTGAACAGAGGTTCTCAGCATAAAGCAGAAAGGAGATTTTCTTTGGATCCATAAAAGACGCAGTGATTTTCTTTGTCCTGCTGCATTGGCCCCCTCCTCTGCTGGCTGCAGCCCAGCCTGGCCGTGGCTCAGTAGAGAGGAGTTTATTTATAGTTGAGCTCACAACCTACTTTGAGACTTACTGTATTTTCTTGGGCTAAAATGTATTTGATTAATTTTGTGTCCATACAGTAAAGTTTTAAAAGTCTGAAAATTTTAATGCAAAAATCACTTTTAATTCATCCACTTTTCTTGAGATCTTTAGGACTCTACCAGGCTGATGCTAAAATGATAAATGTTTGATGAGTTGCTTTCAGTAGATTGTGGCTGAGTGTTTATTTTCATGTTTTTCTCCTCCTTTTCAGGCTGCGAGCCAATCCCTCTGCACTACCTGGAGTGGAGCAATCCAGAGTCCATTATCCAGGTGGTCTTCTCATGCATGGGCATCCTGGTCACGTCATTTGTAGCTTTCATCTTTGTCTTGTACCGTGACACACCTGTGGTCAAATCCTCCAGCAGGGAGCTCTGCTACATCATCCTTGCAGGGATCTTCCTGGGCTATCTGTGTCCTTTTACCCTCATTGCCCGTCCCACTGTGGCCTCCTGCTACCTCCAGAGGCTTCTTGTTGGACTCTCAGCAGCCATGTGCTACTCAGCTCTGGTAACCAAAACCAATCGCATTGCCCGCATCCTGGCAGGCAGCAAAAAGAAGATTTGCACCAGGAAACCAAGGTTCATGAGTGCCTGGGCTCAGGTGGTTATCGCCTTCATCCTGATCAGTGTCCAGCTCACCTTGGAGGTTACCCTCATTGTCATGGAGCCTCCTGAACCCATCAAATCCTACCCCAGCATCAGAGAAGTCTTCCTGATCTGCAACACCAGCAACCTTGGTGTTGTAGCGCCACTGGGTTACAACGGCTTGCTTATCATGAGCTGCACCTATTACGCCTTCAAGACCCGCAACGTCCCTGCGAACTTCAATGAAGCCAAATACATTGCCTTTACCATGTACACCACATGTATAATCTGGCTGGCGTTTGTGCCAATCTACTTTGGTAGCAACTACAAGATCATTACTACATCCTTTTCTGTGAGCCTCAGTGTGACTGTAGCTTTGGGTTGTATGTTTACACCAAAGATGTACATCATCATTGCCAAACCAGAGCGAAATGTGCGCAGCGCCTTCACCACCTCCGACGCTGTGCGCATGCATGTCGGTGATGGCAAAATTGCCTGCCGAAGCAACAGCTTGCTCAACATGTTCAAGAGGAAGAAGAACACTGGAAATGGCAGGTGGGTTCATTAATTGAGTCTGTGAGTCCTGCTCCTGAGGCACCTCAGGGATGCTGGTTTTACCGTTATTCCCTCTCAAAGGGAACCTGATGTGTTACTGTATTCACTTTTACAGGATCACTTGTAAAGTGTGATGGATATAGGTCAGTTCTCAATTCACACAGCCGTTCTAACCTTTGATCTGTTGGTAAAATTAAAACAAGCATCTCTCTGTGCTGAGGGATTACAAGTAGGATCGCAAATGCAGATTTCCATTATAACTTATAATGACTGACTTCTTAGATTTTGTGAAACACTCTACATACAAATGAACATTTTTTTTTACATGAACCAAAAATGCTGTTGTTGTCTTCACTTTTCTGGGTTCCTGTGAAGTAACAGTCATTTTTATTTTGTTCATAGTTCTAATGGAAAGTCTGTGTCATGGTCTGAACCAGGTGCAAGACATCCTCCAAAAGGGGATCATATGTGGCACAGACTGTCAGTGCATGTGAAGAGACAGGAAGCAGGTTGCAATCAGATGGCTGTCATCAAACCCTTAACTAATACCTACCAAAACACAGCACTGGAATTCTCAGACCTCAGCACTAAGACTTTGTATAATGTGGCTGAGGAGGATGAGAGTGACCCTATCAGATACAGTGTTCCTGACACCCCCCCAATGATGGCCCTCAGGCAAATGCCTGCCTGTGGCATGATAATAGAAGCGGGTGAAGAGGTGGATCTCTATGCCCCACAGCATCTGCAGAAAAATAGTATTATCCCCCAACATGCCGTCATGGACCACCTACAAGAGGAGGTGGTGGCAGGCAAATTCAACATCCCTGAGCTCAATGATATGATTAGCATGCCTGAAGTTGTGCACGGCGGTATGCACGGATACCACCAGGCCCACATCATTCAGCAGGTCCATGCACCTTGACCAATTCAGTGAGGAGCCTGCCTCCCCTTTAGAGGAGGAAGAGCTGGAGAATGAGCAGTTTGGCCTTCTCCATGGCTACATGTACAACCACCGCCAAATTCATGATGAGGAGGAGCTGGTTGACATCAGATTAGCTGTAGAGGGCCCTCTGGCACTGATGCCTCCCTCCCCCTTCCGAGATTGTGCTGCTCCTCCAATGAGCCCCTTTCCCAACTCACCGGTGTCTGAGTCAATTTTGTGTACTCCTCCAAATGTGGCATATGCTTCTGTCATCCTCAAAGACTACACACAAAGCTCCTCAACTCTGTGAGGGCACACGCTAAACAATGCCAGTTGTACTATATTTTCAAGTTTATAATGACTTGGACTGTATATGACGATGCATAGGAAAAAGGTTATTCTGTGGGCTGATGACAAGGCACAGCATTTTAAAATTCTTTTAGACGTTGTATACAATAGTGAAAAAAACTGCCAATGACAAATATATTTCTATGCTAACATAAGCTTTTAGGATAAAACAGATTGTTCTGAGACAAAAAAACTAAGATTGTGTGTTTATGAATTAATGTCATAGCTTTATTTGATAAATATTGGTAATGTAACAAGCAGATGAGTTTGATTTTAAAAGAGGCAACTTCATGGTGAATATTGTTTGTATGTTGTGCAAAACAATATAAGTTGACAAAATTTTAGAAAAATGTTTTCTTTTACATGTTTTTTGCTTTATCGGGAAAACACAGTGATGAAGTGATTCACTTTCTTGCAGAGGTGATTGAGATGAGATGACTAATGCATTATGTCCAAAACTATATAGTGGTACAGCTAGTTACCACTGACGTAGCTCAACATGAAGACTGAAAACTGGGAACAGCTTGTGTGGCTCTGTCCAAGGTAACAAAATCCATACAGCACCACCAGCCACAATACATGCTTTTACAGGGAGGTGCAGACACTTAAAGAAATCGCTGCACCCAGCCAAGACATAGTCTGGCACATTACCTCTTGTGAAATCACAATTTGTTGTTGTTTGCACAAAATAGACATGATATAATGTGTTAATTAGAATGCTTTAGAGGTGTAGTAGGCAGATTTTGTTACCCTTAGAGAGCTAGCTGTTTCCCCTTGTTTCCAGTCTTTATGCTAAGCTAGCTAGCTGCTAAATGAAGCTTCATATTTGGCTTCAAACAAAAAAGCGGTATCTTCTCATTCAAATTTTTATTAAAAGCCGTTAAGCATACTTATTCAAATGTAAACCATTCATTTAAAGTAGGATGACTGACTTAAAATGTTCTCCTTTGAGGGAATTTGAAAGGTGACATGTCAACATGATTTTTTCTTGTAAAAAAATAATCTGAATTTTTATTTGCTATTGTTCTGCCTGGCAAGTGCACAGACTATCACAAATGTAGCAGAGGATGTTCAAGTGCCACATTTTCATTCAGATTTTTTGTACATTTTAGTTTCTATAGTACTGAAAAGCAAGTTTAACTAGTTTCAGATTTATATCTTTTATAATTATAGCTCTGATTTCATAATTGTATAGATTTATGTATAAGATAAATGACATATGTTTTGTGAATGTATGAATTGTGTGTATTTTGGTATTCAGATATCTATATGCATTACAGCATTCCAAAAGACATTAGCTGTGTATGCTTATATTGTGTGATTGGTTGTGTATTAACATCTTATCAAAACCATATAATGTGATAAAGTGCTACTGTTACTGTAATAATCTGAATAAGCTATATGCAGCCTTATATAAACTGTGCATTGTATAAGTTAAGTGTACAATTTTGAACATATATTTACTGTAGAGCATATGAAGGCCAATTGTTTGGAGTATATGAAATATTTTTATGCTTTTATCTCTTGTTTTCCATGTTGAAACTTTGGGTGGCTTTGTGTCCTGGCCCGCCTACTCCTATAATGTTTTAAATCAAAGGTCAAAGATTTATGGCTTTGACTTGAATGAAGAAATTCAAAACAGAAACAGAGATTTCAGGGATCCAAATTTTGGTTATTTTAAACATTAAAAGATTGTTTATTGTTGAACAGGGCATCAGGAAGAGCTACAGTACTTTTACAATTTGTTAGGAAGAAGATTAGTTTTGCTAGTTAGCATACTGTGACTGTGTCGGCTTGTTGAACAAAACATGGAAGGACATCTAGTGGCAATATGTACAGAAAAACTGTACAAAGTCATAGTCATTGGAGATGTGGGTGTTGGGAAAAGCAGCATAATCTCGCATTATATTAATAAACTTTTTAGTGAAGAATACAAAACAACCATTGGACTTGACTTTGCTCTGAAAAAAAATGAGTGGGATGCCAGAACGGTGGTGAGACTGCAGCTTTGGGATATTGCTGGTGAGTGTTAAGGTTATGCAAAAATTTTACATTACATTAAAGTGACACGGACATGAAAAGGAAAATGGTATGTAAAGTCGGCATTCATTACAAAACGACTAAAAACAAAACCATAGCTCTGCACTCTGGGGAGACGGCTAAAGCCAGATCACGTTTATTGCTTGCTTAGCTGGTGGGATAGTTGGGACTAGTTTTAGCTAAAGCTAGAAAATGCAATTAACTGTTTCCTCTTGCTGTTATAAGTTGTTGAAACATATTCATTATCCACATATAAATGTGGGAAATTTATTTGATTTAAATTCATTTTCCCCAGTTGCATTTTGTAAAGATTCTCTCAAGGTACACTGCAGTATCTGCATTTTGGGCTGTTATGTAGGCTCTGTTGTAATGGAGTTTGGCAGAAAAATAATTAGCATATAAAGGCATACAAACATACAATTGTAGCTTCGTATGTGTTGGGCCAATTGGCAGCCCGCCTAACAACTTTAAATCCGTTTTCTCCACTGTGTGTGTGTAGTAACTGGTCTCCGCCTAGTGCTCTGTGAAAATTTCACATTTGTCTAAACGAACTACACAGGAGATCCATTCTGCAAAAATGACCTTCAAATCCTAATAAATCATGACATGATTTGATTATCACTGCTGATTAAGTTTACTATATGTTGGCAATGTTTACAGATCTGGAAGCTGCAGTAATTGCTGCTTTTTGACCCTAGGTTTTGTCTGTTCTAATTTTAATCCCAACTAGTATCCATGGAAACACACAGGATTTGATAGAATAATCCAATACACACAGGTAAAAACACAGAGCATTATTTAGTATGTCTGGGACAACTTTAAATACAAATCCAAAAACTACGCCTTTTGCCTATTAATGAATCTTCACTTTTGCATTAAGATTTGAGCACAAGCTGTGTGGGAGCACAGATTTATCTTCTGTTCTTCTGTTCTCTCAAGGCCAAGAGATGTGTAAGAACATATCTAGAGTGTTCTACAAAGGGGCGATGGGAGCTGTAGTTGTCTTTGACATTACAAACAGCTCCACCTTGGAGGCAGCCTCAGATCGGAAGCGGGATCTGGATAGCAAGGTCTGTCTTGACAGTGGACATCCGATCCCTGCTGTCCTGCTGGCCAACAAATGTGACATGACAGCAAGGGATGAAGACTTGGTGTCCTCTCTGGATGCATTCTGTAGAGACAATGCCTTTCTGGGCTGGTTTAAGACCTCTGCAAAGGTATGTATTGTATTACAGTTAATATGTGAGAAGAAAATGTGTCTAGAGTGGCAGTTAAGAAAAAGCAAACACTAATCACAGGCACTGAAATTACCTGAGGCTATCACTCACGTTTTGGTGATTTGATTGCAAATTTATACCATTTAAATACAGTAGTAACCAATATATATAGTTTGCCAGCGTTATAGTCTCACTGTGACATGTGTAAGGAATTAATTATACAGAAGGAATATCTGTGAAATTTGATTATTTTGAAACTGAAAGCTGATCCACATGGGCTTCAGTTTAATAATATAAACTTTTTTTTCTTTTCTTTATCAAACAAAGGTTTATTCACTAACTGACTTAATGAAATTGTAATGTAATTGTTTGCCTGACTAAAGCCACCAGTGGATCTTGTGACTTTATATAATATGTTGTATATATGAACAGCTACACTCATAAAATGTGTTCAAATATTAACATACTGGAACAACTAGCAGACAAGGTTTATACAATTAACCAAGCAGACGCATACACAATGTTATAAATCGTATTCCCCCTCACCATTTATAGGAAAATATAAATATTGATGAGGCAGGAGCCTTCCTTGTCAAACAAATGATGCTGTGTGACATCAGCCTGTCTGATGAAGAGCGCCACTGGGATGGGATCACATTGGACCAGGCTCCTGAGGAAAGTCAGAGGCTGTCATTATGCTGCTGAAGACCAAGGCAGTAAGACAAAGATCCACAAAAAGGCTGCTGCTTACTAAACACTAACAAGACCTGCTTTTGATACTAAGTCATTATAGCTGGGTACTCCATATTCATATTTCTGCCTTGCCAGTTTCCTCAGTACAGTGTGGCTTGTGTGGGCTGCCTCATAAACACCTCTGTGGAGACAACTGAGCTAATTTAGCTGATAATCCACTGATACAGACAAGCTAATAAACAGATCAGCATGACATACTTCTCGCTGGGAAGTGTCTGTGATATTCCTCATGCAACCAAGACGTGCTGGTGATTAACCTACTAACGCGAGGCCAGAAACTGTGAAACAGTCACAGCTGCCATTTTCTCAAGCCACAAGAACAGTAAGAAAAGTCGACTCTTTTTTTGTGTATTTTA